TGCCTCCAGCAAAATAACAACAGATGCTTTATACACTGTATGACATGAGATGTCAAGTAACAGATGATCCAGTGCAAGGCCTTCCTACCACTTGGCCATATCATCATAAGCAGAGACAATTTGAAGAAGAGTGCATGGGCAAATATATGACTTTAAAACAACAAATTTATTTGTGTGCAACACTTTGTGTTTTAGGTCCTAGGGGTTTTTCAAAACCTCTAATGGTCTTTAATTTCGCACATTGTTAGGTCTGATTAATGGTATTTGGACTGCTCATAGTGATGGTGTTCTTATTTATTAGAAGTAATTGAGAAGTTAATTGAGCTCTGCATTCCTAGTTTCATGTTTTAAATAACAATTTTAATTCTTCCTTTTGTTACATGAATGTATTAAATATATTATTAAAGCCAAGAGTAAAAGAAAGACAATGGAAGAGGTGGCAAAGGCAACCAAACAGATCTGTTTTCAAACAGAGGGATGTTCCCTCAAGGATGGGAGCTCTCAGGTAGGTGTGCTGTTCTACAGAGACCTCAATGAAATTGTTTCATCACTGCTGACCTTCAGTGCTCAGGCCCCATCAGCCACACATCAGAGCCCAGACTGGGAGTATATCAAGTTAAACTGCTCTAGAGCAAGACAGAAGGGAAATTACTGTCCTGAGTTCAATCTCTTCCTCTTCATGGGCCTTTTTCATCATAGGTCTTAAGTCACTCCATCACTTTGAAGTTTATTTGAGAGGGAAAATAACCACAAAATCATGTGACTGAAGTTGCAAGAGGGTATGACAGCAATGTAAGCATAATCCTGGACACAGGCAGCTGGATGGAGCACCACTGAAACAATTACTGCCCATCATGCCACACTAATTCACAGGACAAGACGTACCAGGACATTTTTCATAGCTTTTATCCTTATTTATCTTTATTTCTGCCAGAGGCTCTGCCTGCCAGAGAAGGGAGCTGGCTGTGTCACAGCTGACACAGGAGGTTCCCACAAGGAAGCTTTGCTTTAGACTTGAGGAAGTCAGATAATCTGGTTTTATTTGAGTAAATTCTCACCCCATATGTCCTCTCAGATCACATTGCTACAGCAGTCTTAAAATGGGTCAAATAAAACTCCCACACAAAATGATGCACCCACACAATTGCATTAACCCATAATAAGCAGCATTTCACAAACTGAATTGCCATAAAAATGTATACTGTATTTACAGGTCTTCAAACTGACATTGAGTACCATTTTATAAAATCAACTACTGCTTAATAACAATTAACTGTGTACCTTAGACCCACTGAGAACCCTCTGCTGTGTTACCATAAAGGATATTAGACTTGTACTACTACCAGTTACTCCATTAGTGCCCCTGACAGCTCTAAATGCTTAACCCCACAGTAAACTTACATGTCAGCCTGATATCAAAGGATAAAATTTATCTTCCTTTTCTGCTTTGAAAACCTAGGAAACTGCTTTAAAAGCATATGGAAAAGATGTGGTATTTAGAACTCAAGATACAAACACAAAAGTTCACAGAAAAGCTGTTATTCAGTCCTGATGGCAATGCTGGGGGAGCAGGAGGATAAATTACATGATAATACACAATTTATTGCTCTGTCTGCCTTCCTGGGCTGGCCCCTGTGAGCATGGCATGAATCACAGCCCAAAGCCCTGCTGGCTCAGACACTGCCATTCCTGCCATTGCAGGACAAGGTGCCAGTGGGAGTTTAGTGCCACTGCACATGCCTCAGCACTGCCTTAAAAACAGCAGAGCAGCTTCTTGTTCACTGAGAGATCAGTGCCAACACCCAACTGAAACCCCTGCCTGGGAGTGTACCAGCTGCTGTGCTGCTTTCCCTTGAGCCAGGATAGCTCCAGGCTCTGCCCCTGAACACCCTGCTGGGTACAAACAATTATCCTGGATCTGGCAGGTAACACAGCACCCTGCTCTGGGTAGTGCAGGACTAGACACAGAGATAATATTTCAACGGGTAACAAGGTAAAACTGCAGGTTGGGAAAGTCACGGAGCACTGGTTTTGGTGTGAGACAAAGTTGCACCTTTCTTGAAACAATTATAAGGCAGATTCAAGGAAATGAACCATTGCCTATGTCTGGCTCTTATTTCAATACTGTCATGACCAGGTGAGTGAATCCAGGGTGTCCCCCTGGTCAATTTTGTAGCACGGCTCCAACTCTTCTCAACAATTTCATATTCAACATCACCTCCTTTGAAATAGGGACCTGCAACTTACAGGAAAAAACATCTGCAGACAGTTATCTGTGAAATGCAACATCTTGAGGGATACAAAGCATTCCAGAGAAATCAAGTATGCCCTTTCCAGCTCCAGAAATCCCTGAGGAATGAGCCTTCTTATATTTGCCTTCTTATATTTATATCACTCTGAAAATCACTATCCAAGCTAAACAAAATTTAGGTTTAAAAAAATAATAATAATAAAGCACTTTATTCCAACAGAAATTTAAGGTACAAGTAGCTGGCAGGACAAAAGCTCTAACAGCAGGCTGGCACTTTGTCCTTATCTGCAGAGTGTCTGATGCCTTTTCAGTTAAGAGCTAGAGGGACAAATCTGCAGGTGACAGGGCTGGAGCCAAACTGACTATGCAAATCCTTACATGCCAGATACACATCACAGAATAGGCTCCCTTCTCAAGCCACACCTCAGATAAAGGCACAGAGGTGATCACAGCAGCTCAGACTAGATGGCCATGCAGCTCAGTGCCTCAACACTGACAGTGTTCAAAAACAGATACCTCAAGGAAAGCACAGGAACAGAGTGTGTGTAATAACCTTCCTTAGCTTCCACCGGCCTGCAGTTTGGCTCTCCTGAGAAAGGCAGCACCAAATCCCACAGTAACTTTAGGGAAACAGAGCAATCCCTTCAAAGGACAGCCAGGCCAGCCACCTGAACTGGTGGAGTTTGTGCCATCTCACAGAACCAGGTTAACCCTGTTACAGCCACTGCTTGAAGATAACCAGCTGTGCAAACATGTTCTGATTTACTTCCCCCAACAAAACTTTAAAAGGAGCTGGTTACTTTTCTGCACAATTAGAAGATGAGAACATCACTAGTTTTCCTTGCCTAATTAGATTTTTTTTACACTATCTCATGGATTTTACCCGATAGATAAGGATGTACCTTACCAATACTGGTGCCTACCTTTTACAGATGGATATAATTAATGGAGGGCAAAGGTTACTAGTAATAATTACATGTTGAATACATGACTGCAAATCCTTTACAACTATTTTTAAATCTTTTGCTTTAATTAATTTTCTATTCTGTTCCCAATTTAAAAATTTACTTCAGTGTCTTAGTTACAATTTTTTTTCTGTATACAAACTAACAGATAAATACTTAATTGTGGATAAGTATTTCCCCCTCAGCTACATACTGAACTTACATACCAAGACAGAAATTCTGGATATTTATGTGCTACACAAACTGCCTCAACTTTGATTTTGCTGCTCTAAAATATCAGCTCACTGCATACAAAAGGTCTGTCTTAAATCAGATTTGTGTATAAATTGGTGGTACCAATTTGGTAGCAATGGTACCAAAAAAAATGCATGATAAGGTATGGAAAAAAATTCACACTGTACTAATATATAATTTATTCACACAGAAACTCTGCCTCAAAATACTTCCACACTGACAGAAGTCATAGCTGCAGACACTCAGCATTTTGGGTATCAGTAACATGAACAAAATAAAAGACTCCATGATGCCATATTTGGATTTAATAGTAAGGAAAACATTTTCACTGAAAGGGTAGTTAAGCATTGGAATAGGCTGCCCAGGGAAGCAGTGAAGTCACCATTCCACGAAGTGCTCAAAAGACTGGAGGTGTGGTATTTGGTGACATGGTTTAGTGGTGGCCTGGACAGTGCTGGGTTGATGTTTGGTGATCTCTGAGATCTTTTCCAGCCTGAAGGATTCTGTGATTCTATATTGAAGAAACACAGAGCACCTCGGCAACAATTGCTCTGCTCTTCGAGAGAAATCAGCTTGTAAACAACGTCTTTGGAAGGTGCAATGTTGTTTAAAAACCGTTTTCATTCAAAAACGTAGGAGAAAGAGATCAGCAGAATCTGCTCTCCTACAACTCCTGTACTTCAATTTCCACCAGAGACGCGCTAAAATGAACCGTTTATGCTACGCCTGAAAGCCCCTTGAATCTTCCGGGATTTAGGCAATTGATTCATTGTTTCACATTTAAATAACAACGAGCCGAATCTCTAAGGAACACGAATGTTTGCGCTGCGGGTTTCTGCGCGCCCTCCCCTGTGCCACGACCCCGAGGTCACCTCCGCCATGGCTGAGGCACCCAGCGCGCCAACCTCGGGCACAACCATGGAGGAGACACCGCGCCCCTGGCAGAGGCAGCACCGCGGCCGGGGCTCTCCGCCTCGGCCGAGCTGCTCGGATTAAAGCGTTTCAAGGGGGCATTAGCGCCAGGGAGCGGCGCTGGGTGGGAACACGGGCCGGGCGCGGAGGGAGCGCACGGCCCGCCCGCCTGAGGGGGCTTGGGACTGTGAGGGAAGCAGACGTGGTGCTCCGGAAAGCGCCGCGCCGGGAGGCGCCGGGGCCAGCCCACCTCGGGCAGGAAGCTTTACCCCCAGCCCCGCCGCGCCTCGGCGGCCCGCTCGCGGCTCTCCTCCCATTTCTGCCCTGGAGGAGTCAGGGCGGACTGTGAGGGACAATGAGTTGGGACTGACAGAGGAGCTTCTCTACAGTGAAGCAGCGCCATCTTGCAGTACGGACGAAAAGCTGTGGCGGGCGCCATTTTGCACATGGCCGAGAGATGAGAAGCGCCTTATTGCATTTCCCCTCCTGGGCGCCGCCATTTTAGGTTACGGCATAGCCTCCGCCTTCCCAAGCGCAATCTCATTGGGCGCCGCCATTTTGGCTTACGAACAAGACAGCGACCCGCAGGGGTCCTCACCCCCTCCCTTCCTCCCTTTAGGTGCCTTCATAAAATGCCCGTCGAGAATCCCCTCTTTTTTCGCCCCGCTCCCAAGATGGCGTCGATGCGGGAGAGCGACACCGGCCTGTGGCTGCACAACAAACTGGGCTCCACGGACGAACTGTGGGCGCCGCCGAGCATCGCCTCGCTGCTCACGGCCTCGGTCATCGACAACATCCGACTCTGTTTCCACGGCCTTTCCTCGGCCGTCAAGCTCAAGCTGCTCCTGGGGATGCTGCACCTGCCCCGCCGGGCGGTGGATGAGGTGAGAGCCGGGTGGGAGACGCAGCGAAGCGGGGAGCGTGTGTGTGTGAGGGGGAGAGGTCGGAGATGGCCTGAAGGGAGAAAGGGGGGGCAGTGCCAGCACCACCTCCCCCGCCCGCCCTTCTTTTCCACACGGGGGCTGCGGGGAGGGGGGACAGACCCCGGGCTGCCCGCGGGGCGAAGCCGAGCGGCCGCAGCCCCTCAGGGCAGGGGCGTGTGGTAGGGCTGGTCCCCACAGCCTTCCCCGCCTCTCCCTCGCAGCCTTCCTTGGACGGGCAGCAATAAGTGGAGAAGGTCTCCCGGCTCGGTCCTCGGTGTGAGGAAAAGCGCCGAGATTCCCCGCGATAAGGGAGTGAGTGGAGTGGGAGCTTTGCTGCTGCTCCTCCTCTTCCTGCTCTTCGGGGATTCCCTGCTTGGCACTAGGCTTTTGAAAGCAATTTGGACACGAAACCCGTTGTGTGGCCCACAGGGACTCATTGTAGGGCTGTGTTTTGGGTGCCTTTTAGCGAAGAGGGCTTTTCTGAGGCAGTGGTTGTGCCATGGCTAGGGGAGAGGCAGGATCGTTCAGGAGCGGTCCGTGTGTGTGTTTCAGCTTCCTCCGCTCCTTCACAATACTGGCGGCTGTGTAGGTGTCACAAGTCGAGCATCTCGGCTTTAGGGAGGACAGCAGCAAGTGCTGAAACTTTGGCAGAGGAAGATCTGGGGTCTGCACTGAGCAGTGCTTTTCCCCACGCTCCTGCAGTGAGGTCTTGACTGGGGAAAATTGCCATGATTTTTGTTTCCCTCTCTTTACCGTTCTGGGAGCAGCTGGTGCTTTCCTCTGTTGTCCTACCCCAGCTAATGAACTGGCTGGCTCGAGTCTGAGCTGGCTCTGCAGGCTTTTTCACTTGGCCCTGGACCATGCCTCATCTGCACCCAGTTTATTTTTGCCAGTAGGCAGCTACAGATGTTTGGGGCAATGGCTGGAGAATGTCTGGAAATATTAGGTTTCTTCAGCCAGACTGAAGGAATTCCTCTCCTGCTTCCATCATGTAAAGTAGTATTTCCTGGTAACGATCATGGAAGTGGTGTGGAGTTAGTTTTTACCTTCCTATGTAGAGTAGCTGTGCTTTCACCAGTCTTTCTTGGCTAAGACAGCTGCTTCTTAAGCTAAATATACATATATACGAGGCAGGGTGTGGTATGTAGCTGGGATTGTTGTGTGCTCAGCTTTTGTGCATTTCTAGGCTGAAAATGGGCAAGCATCACCTTTAAGAAATAATTTAGTGTAAGTCTTGCCATATACCATTTAATGTTTGTCTTGCCATATGCATCTGTATGATTCATCACTGCATTACACTGGTGTCACTTTAAAAAAAATTCTAGTTCAACGTGTTTATGCTGATTTTTAAAACATGATATTCATGTTTAGTGCTTGTCCAGTGAACAAGCTGTCATCCTTGTGTATGATAAATGGGGTCATGTTCTGGACAAACAAAATAATCTAGGCCAGAAAGGGGGATGGGAGCTCGTGTGAACTTGTGAGTTTGCAAAATTCTTGTGACCTAAGTAGCCTGGCAGAAATTAGTATTGCAGTGTTTAGAAAAATCAGTGGTGTTTTTAGAATGAAAAGAGCTTCAAAGAGCTTAAGGACCTTCATTAATGGCACTCATGGCAGCTCTTTGAGGGAGCAGCATTCAAACAAACTGAAATAATTTGTTGAAGTGCTTCAAGTGTGTTCACTGGGAGAACATTTAAAACCAAACCTGAGGAAGAGCTGCCAGCAGCTTTCCTGGATCTGTGCTTGTGTTAGCTGTGGAGATGAAGTGTAAAGAAAAGTCAGTCAGTGTGCCTTTTACTGTGTACTGACAGTGATCAGTTGTGTTCCAAATGTGAAGCTCTTGTTCCTGCTGTAACAAAATACTGTGGGATTTTTCAGTTTGGCAGAGTTCATTAACTCAGTCATAATAAATAATAAAAGCTTAATCTTTTATTGTAAACTGATGATTGAGATCTCTTGATTGAGATCTACCCTTAGCATCTTTAATTGTTTGAGGAACATGTGATTTTTTTCCTTAAACTGGGAGAAGGGCCTTAAAAAAGGTTAAAAATAGAAAAATAGAAAAACCCCTGAGGCAGAAACCCTTAACATTGCTGGTAGGCCTAATGTTATTATTATTACAGGCTTCCTTTTATAGATGGCAAAAATAGCTGATGTAACCAAACTGCTGACAGAAAGGACTGTTGTCATATCAGATGCTCATCATTTGTGGTTAGTTTACTAAGACAGTTTTATTTGTGCAGATTTGTCGCCTAACTTAGTATCAAAAATTCCAATGTTTTAATTGGCGTGGCATACCTTGCACACAATATCCAGAAAATAGATAAATATGCCTGTGTCCAGAGTGGCTGTGCTGTGCACACAATATCCAGAAAATAGATAAATATGCCTGTGTCCAGAGTGGCTGTGCTGTGCACACAATATCCAGAAAATAGATAAATATGTCTGTGTCCAGAGTGGCTGTGCTGTGCACATCTCTGCAGCAGCCTTGCCTGTGTGCTGGGGAGTGCTGCAGGCGGTGCCTTCCTGCCAGGACAGGGTAGCTGCAGCTGCCTGGGAGTGAATTTCTCACTTGGAAATCACCCCTATGTGTGAAAATGGTTGAACTGAACCATGAGAGTGCTGGATGACTCTCTTTGGAAAGTCACCTGTCTCTCCCGTGCCATGTGCCAGCCTGCATCGATCCTGTGCGAGAAGCACTGAGCTGGCATTTGGAAGCTTAATTGTATTGGAAAATGTATTGCATCAGCTTTGTGCAGCTTTGGGAATCTTAATAGCAGTTACAGGATATGTTGCATGTTAAAAGATATTCCCCTCTCTAGATAACAGATTCAAGGGAGTTATTTTCTCTTCAAAATATTTTTTTCTGTTTTCTGTGTAGTAGCATTTTCATGACAGCTTAGGATAACGTAGAAACCATTTGGGAGCAGACATTTGAGTAAAAAGCAATGTGGGAATCAAGGAAACTGGTAGTATTTAGTTTAGAAGGGATTTAATTGCTCCTGGTCCTTTCTAAATCTCTGTGAAAGCTTCAGTCTAGACAAGTGAATCTTCAGTGAGCCCTCCTGAGAGCTCAGTCCTTCACTTAAGTGATTTTATCCTCATATGTAATATCTTTCAATTTTCATAATGTTTTCATTCAACGCTCCAGATACTGTATAGATGTAAGTGACTTAGTCCTCATAATACTCTTGTGGGACAGGTAATAAAACTAATTTTTTATCATGCTGTGAACCACATTACTGCATGTTTGTTCCTGCTGACTAATAAGAATAATTGGCTTTCATTTTCATTTTAAATTGTGTTTTGTGGGCAGTTATCAAAAATTCCTTTCCCACTGCAGTTCTCTGGGAAGGACTTGCAAACTCTTGAATCTTATGGCTTTTCAACTAATTTTTTTCTAGATAGTTACACTTGTTTGAAATTATGCCTAAAGCTCAGTGTAGTGCTGACCAGAGTTTCAGTTGTGAATTTGGCAGAACTGTTATATTTGTTTATTTTGCATATTATATTCTTGTTAACCTGATTCACATTGGCAAGTGCAAGCTTTCTTTTTATGCCAGTGTTTAATTTATTTGTTCAGGGTTAGACTGTGATGTTAGAACCAAGTCTGGAACAAGGACTGTGCTTCTGTGCTCTCTGAATTGTCTTGAGAGGAGGATCCCTGTCCCAGCAGGGACCTGCCAGTTTATTACAGCAGAAATCAAAACTGTTTCCTTGTACTGGCTTATGTGCACCAGGAGCCATCTGTGCAGGGAAGTGGGGATTGGGGAGTGTGGGTGCAAAGGAGTAAGAGGGGACATGACACTTGCATTTCCCTCTGTGTTGGGAGCACACAGGCTGCTGGGCACCTTTCTGGCCTGCACTTAGAGTTCATTACTCTGTGATGTAAAATGGGATATTTTAATCCAATAGTTCTCTTGGCCACTTGAGCTCTTTTTCATGATTAAAATGCAAACCACATCCAATAGTGGTATTGACCCATCCTGGGTCTGTATTGTGTAAATATTAATACTGTGTTTTCAATCCAATGCTTTTAGTTTAATGAAAATATTCTATAATGATAATGCAGCTCCCTATTAAATACCATCTTTTCTATAGCCTCAGAAAGATGAAAGCTTCATTTGGTTTATTAGCCAACTGTTGATACATTTGTCTAAATGTGTGGTTATACACGTTAATTTAGGCAAAATACAAAGCAAATAAATATTTGAAATATTTGCAAGTAGTCATCTTGGAGCTGTCATATTGTGTGTTACTTGTAACACTTCCTTTTAAATACCTTCCCACAGTCCTGTTTGTCCTTCCTGCACAGCCATTATTAATCTGCCTGTGTTCCCAGACACTTCCCATGCTGCCTGATCCCTGCTTGCTAGATGTTTCTAGTCGTGGCCTGTGCTTTTCTTGTGTGCCAGCAAGCTGATAAAAATACTTAAGATCCTTAAGTTTTAGATGAGAAAGACACTGGGACATGTTACATCAGATCTTGACATTCATGCTTAACAAGATGCTGATGGGAGTCTTAATGACCCAGTGTTGCAATCATAGACAATTAAGAATTAGGGATTATGGCTCTGCCCTGTAAAGTAACAGGAAAAGTGCATGTAGCATTCCCTGATGAGTTGCATTTCATGCATTCTCAAACCATAAATGAAATGTTTCTTTTCAGCTGCCAGTTGAACAGTGAGGTGGGAACATGTATTTAAATTGCCATTTGAAGGCAAACCTGAGTCAAAACTTGAATCCAGGCTTGTTGAATGCAAAGCCATATTCAGGCAAGGTCTCTGGTTAGCTCCCAGCACTTGTTAGTGTGCTTCGCTTCCCTGTGTGTGATAGTGTCTGTTATTTCACCATGTTCTTTCTGTCATGAGGCTTTGTGATAGTGTTATTTGCCCCGTGCTAGGCAAGCAAATTGTTTCTGGGCTCCTTTCTTGAAGGAACCAAAAGCTTGTTAAGCAGTGGGTTTGGGCATAAATAGGCTGCCTGAACTATAACCCTGAGAGCAGAGGGGGTGCAACATGCCCAGACCAGAGTTCTATAGGAATGTTCATAGTATGGGCATGTAGCTCTGTAAATTTTGGTACAAACAGGAGTTTTGTGAAGCAGATATGAAGGGTAAATTGTGGGATGCAAGAGACATTTTTCCTCTGACTGTGCTTTGATGGAGGAAATGACATTCTGTACGCTTACCTGCATTAGTGGTGTCCACAGAAAAGCTTGTGAAAGCTATGAATTCATCAGCTCTTCTGGGATGTTTTAGGTGTTTTCTGTAAATCAGTACCTTGATTCCTTTAGGACAGATAAAAGAACAAAAGACTCTGCTCTGATAGTGTTCACAGTCATTCTCATCCACTGTAGAAGTGACTTTTGTTAAGGAGTTGAGGGTTAGAATAGAGAGGTGGACAAGTGTGTGGGGGTTCTGGTGGGGTTATGTTTACTGAGGAATAAGTGAGCAATAGAGAGCCAGCAAAGACTGGAACTTCAGAAATTGATTCTTTCCACTGGGTGAGGTTGGTTAAATTTGACAGTACATTAAACAGTGTGTGCTCCTGGTTATGTGCTTGATCCAAAGCAAATCAATGGCACTGCTAAGATGGGAACTGGCCCATGTAGTGTGTTCTTCCTGCTCCCCTCTTTGTGGTTCTGGTGTTTGTGTGACTGCAGTCAGTCACTCTGAGGAGTTGGTCCAGCTTTAAGCTACAGAGGTGCTCATTTTGGGTCAGATGGACTGATTGTTTCACAGGCACACAATGTGTGAGACCTAAAACATGCAGGGGGTAAAGGACAAACTGGCTCTGGAGTGGACTTGTAAACCCTTCCAAAGTGAGAGGGCAGTAACATTGTGCAGATGAAAGGACTTGAGAAATGTCAATGTTTGTTTGCCTCTGAGCTTTAAAAGTGGATGGGAGAGGAATGGGGAGCAGAAATTTATTTCTTTTATTTGGAGTTGTATGCATAGAGTAAGTTCATTTTATTAAATCTTTTCATATAAGAGTGCTTTAAATAAGGGAAAGAAGCAGCATGAAGGTGAAGATGAGTCTCTTGCTTGTCTTCCTGTGTTCAGAGACATGATGACTGTAACTAAGCTATATGTGCCACAATGGGTGGTGAAAAATCAAAATCGATATATTTCCTTATACTTGCTTGTACATTCTTCAGTGTTAATATAATGCAGATAGAGTATAATAAATTGCTTTATGTGATTTTACTGTTGTGTTTTGTGGCTTGTTAGACACACAGAATATCTCAAACACCTTAGCTCACTAAAGCTGGTGCTGTCACGCTTACATGAAAATTTACTTAGACAAAAAGAAAGTTCAGTCTTTGGGGTTTTATACTTACTTGTGAATGAAGTAAACCCCTGACTGTAGTCACCTTGATTTCCATGTCATAGTTCCAACAGATATGTTGGTCAGTAATTAAAAAAATTCTGTTACAATGAAACTTAAAATTTACTTCATTTATTTATTTACATTTTACAACATAGAAAAATAACTTTTTTCTTACTATGAAACTTTGGGTAGATGGAAAATCTTGTTGCTCATGGCATGTTAAGAGGGCTGTGTTTACTTCCCATAATATGTAATTTTTGTCAAACACTACAGTATTGATTAGGTTATTTTTGCCTCAGTTTAAGTAATATTTTGAAGACAATTATGATGCAGATGCAACCTGTCTATGTAATTATGCTGTAGGCTGGCAAGGGGCACATCTTCATTTAGATGCCTGTTCTAAATAACTTGTGTTGTATTTGCATATTCCCATCACTGAATAGAAGGTGTGGGTCCACAGGGAGTAGGAATGTAAAACACAAGGGGACAGTAATGTAAAAATTTGGCTGCTGCTTTTGAAAATGCCCAGTGCTAAACAAAGCTTTGAGCTGCCAAAAGCTCAAAACAAAACTTGGATTAGATTGAGGGAAAGCAGTTTAAAAAATCACCTTGGTTCATTCTTTGCTTGGTTCTAGAGTTAATGTGTAACTGTGTGGAAACAGTCTCCCTCTTCCCTCCCCCAGTAGTAAAACATTGTGCATGTTTGTGTCTTTTTTAAATAAATCCAACTACAACCTGTTTAAAACTGTTTCCAATTGGTTGATTTTCTTTTTCTTTTTTTGTTAGATGAAAGGGGCACTGACTGAAATTATCCAGCTCGCTACCTTGGATTCAGACCCCTGGGTCTTAATGGTAGCTGATATTTTAAAATCCTTTCCAGATACTGGCTCCCTTAACCTTGATCTTGAAGAACAGAATCCCAATGTTCAAGATATTTTAGGAGAACTTAGAGAGAAAGGTAAGCCTTTGGTGAAAATTGCAGGAATGTGGTGCATTTTTTTAGGAATAACTTGTCATTTCACAGGCAGCCTTGCTGTCTTAAAGTAGAGATAGAAGAACAAGCACTGTCTTGTCTCTGGACTACCACCGTTCATGACCTGGAATGTAACTGGACTGGGAGCTGTGGTATTTGAGAAATGGTAGCTTCTTAAATTATCTTTTCACATATCATCAGAATTTAATGTCAGCTATTGCCCAGAGTGTGAAGGGCAGCACAAAAGTTGTGTGGATTCTTTAGTACCACAGGCTGTGCTGCAGCTTAGCAGTAAAGATATTTTCTGTGTTGCTCTGACTCACATTTGTGGTCCCCAAGACAACAGCAAGTCTCTGTCTTGTGTGGAAGCTCCACCACTGTCCTGGGCAGGGGCTGCCTCTCTGGAAGTGTCTGGACAGCAGGGGATCGGTGCTGGAGGGAGGCTGATCTCAGGAAGAGTTGTGCTGCTGATGGCCCAGCAGCTGCAGATTGCCCAGCAGCTGCTTCAAACAGCAGCAGAACTGCTGGTGGATGCAAAACTACTCCTACTCCAGTGCGTTGATTTTAGCACTTTGTCTAGGAAAAGCCCTCGAGCATCCATGGACAGACACAGTCTCGGGGCTGGAGATTGCAGCAAAACAATAATTAAATGACTTGGAGGTGGAAGCACTTTGTTTTCTTTCTATAAACAAATGATCATTTGTCTATCCACACTTGTGATTTGGATTTTTATTCAGTAGTTTGGTTTTCATGTGTAATTTTTAAGGAATCTGAGAATTCAATATTTTTAATCTATTTTTTGACAATAGCAGCATATTTAAGATACCTATAATTTGGCTAGGTATAATTAAAATGAAAGCTTTTATTAAGCTAATGGGAAAAGCAAACATTCTAATATCTGGTTATATGTTGTATAATAATTGGAACTAAATTACTCTTGGTGTTTATACAAGTAATCTGAAATTGAAAACCACCTGTACAGTCCATTGTAAAATGTTTTGTCATTAGCTGTCAAAGAGGTGCTAATACCCCTGTGTACTGTGTTAACTCTTTATGCAGTAAGTGAATGTGAAACTTCAGCTATGTTGCCGTTGGAATGCCAATACTTAAACAAAAATGCCTTGACAACACTGGCCGGGCCCCTTACTCCCCCAGTGAAACATTTCCAGCTGAAAAGGAAACCTAAAAGTGCCACTCTCAGAGCTGAACTCTTGCAGAAGTGTAAGTAGTATTAAGATTGTGTACAAATTAAACGGTGAAAGGCCAATTAATATTGAGTATATTCAGTCTTATTCTCCAGAATTGTGATGCACATTAAAATGTTCTATTACAAGAGCTTTTCTGGATGAGGATGGACTGATGTGTGGAAGAGCAGGTGTGAGTCATTCCAGCCAGGATTGCATTAAAATGCTTATATGGATTTAAATGCTGTTCACATTTCAGGGCATCCAAAGAGCTGTAGCTTCATAAAGCACAGATAGGTCCTCTCCTGGTGTAGTAACAGTCTGACTGAGGACACCTTTGGTTAAAGCTCCTGAAGCAAAAGTAAAATGAGGACAGTTTTATTTTGCCATGTGCTTTTGGAGCAGAGAGCAAGGGCTGCTAATTAATGCTTTCTTTCACTCAGTGTGGCTGTATAGGGTGTAAAACCCAAGAGAGTTTTCTCTTAACAAAAGGCAGCATATGTGTACATGTATGTATTGGTAGCTGCTTGAACTAAGTGATTTTAAAATAGTTTACTGCAGCTGCTGTTCTGTTGCAGCAGCTTGCTGCTTTCTTGCATGTAACTTGAGTTGGTCTGGTTAAATACAAAACCTGTAAATTTTCATAATTTGTCATATAACTTTTAAAAATTATTTAAATTTCTACTGAGTAAATTGCCTTTTCTGGTAATTTCTTTTAGCTTAGGCCACCTTGTCCATTGCAGTCATACTGATTTTGCATTTTCTCCAAATACTGTTTGCTTCACATAAATGACCTGGATTTTAATTAAAATACAATTCTTTGTTGGTATTCCTATCTCTTTATCTATAAGTTAATAACATTTTATGTAAGAAGCATTGTGTTATGTATTTCCAGCACGGGTTCTGTAATAACTAAAGCCATTTTTCCTTTTAGCAACAGAAACTGCGCAGCAGCTCAAGAAGACTGCAGGAGTGCCTTTCCATGCCAAAGGCAGGGGACTGGTCAAGAAGATAGATACAACAAGTATGGCTCACTTTCATCAGTTCTCAGAAAGAAAACCTGCTAAAGTAGCCTTGATGAAGAATAAAATTACCATCTGTTTTTTACAAAAGCTTAAATTTTTTTTGAGGCAAAGGATTTCTCCCTTTCTGCCTCCCTCTTTCCTTATACTTAAATATTTCTGACATGTCTTGTCAGAAAGCACAACAGTGTGTGGGGTTTTTCAAATGGCAAGTATATCTGCCATGCTTCTAAAGTCTATGCAGCTAGATCATGCCTATAGACTTTGATAGGAGTTTAATTTGCATCACTCCAGGAATAACTCCTGACTAAGCCATGTTGCTCCAAAAGGGAGAAGAGTGGATCACAGTAGTCTGCTGTGCTCTTTGAAATGCTGTGAAGTAGATTGAAGCTATTTTGTATTTGTATAATTCTGTCTGGAGAAAGAAAAGGGGACAGTGTTCTCTGAAGCCAAGGCTGAGCAGTGAATTCCAGGTAGCAAACCTGTAGAATGATCCTTTCAGCTTTGTATTAATGCATTTCAGCTGTTTGCTGAAGTTCCTGAACTGCTTGAATTTTTCAAATAAGGTGTGAGAAGAGGGTTTAAAATTAGTTACATACTCTTAAGTCACTGCACAGGTATAACATTCCTGGCCACCAGTGATGCTGAGGTGGGAACCTTTGAGTGATTTCTTGGTGTTGTGGCTGGAAGTACTATGGAGTACTAAGTACTTTGTGTTGATGCTATTTAAGATGTGGCTTTGAGGGCTGATGTTTGGCCTTGTGTTCATGCAGGAAATGCAAAAGGTTTAGTTGTAATTCAAACTAAAATTTTTCCATTATAGAAAAGGACTCTTAGTTCTTGGCTGTTGAATTATTAAAGCCAGTTCTTAGAACCTGGCCTTTAGAGCCAGTTGGCCTCCAGAAACAGGAGTTGGGGACCTGCTGAGGTTTGCTCTGCTGGAAGGTACTCACATGGGTCAGAGCATTGTCCTGTGGTTGAAACATTTTCAGTACAACATTTAGAGGGATACAGAGTCTCTAAGCTCAAACTGAAGTTCTCTGTTTATCATCAGGGCATGATGAAATTGTCAGGAAGCTCAAAGACCTGATAGATCTGTATATGTATCCCTTATCTTTTAATAGTTAAAAGATTGCTATGTTTAGTGCTAGCATTAAGTGTGAGGTAGAGGGGCAGCAGTTGTGAGGAAACAGATGCTTACAGGTGTAGCTGATGCTACTGAGTGTTGCACTGTAGACCCAGATTGGTCCTCCTCCTTGTGCAAACAGCAGCTCTAGATTTTCATTTTTTTTCTAGATTTACCCATGTGAGGCAGTACATTACCTTTGCAATATATCACAAGCCCACGGCCTTGCATGAGCTTGGCTAAGATTTTTGGTTAAATACAGTTTTATCAAGTAATTTGATTGTGAAAATCAAAGAGCAACTTTAGCAATAATTGCATTCAAAAGATTTATGTCCTATACTGTTTTACATGTTCAGAGTTTCTTTTTTACAAGTAAGGAAAGCATCTGTATGTATAGGAAAAGTAGACTTTGTTAGCAGTGCACCTGTTTGATTACTTCATGTAGAATGGGGTTGTAAGCATTGGTCAGACATTGGCCCTTATTCCCTTTTTGAAAAGTAAAACCTAATCTGACCTTTGAGGGACATGTAGTGTTATAGCTAATTCCACATTAATATTATAATGTTTATTAGAAACATTTTAATTTAAAGGGCAGGTAATGTGTGCATTAAAAAGGGGAAGAGCTGAAGAACTCATTAAAGCATTTATCATAACCAGTTAAACACATATTTCAGTTGTTGCTTTCTTTGCTCTCCCTAAGCACCACTCAAAGGAATACCAAAACAAGCTCCATTCAGGAGTACTTCAGCTCCCAGTGTTTTTAGTCCTTCTGGAAACAGAACTCCTATTCCTCCTTCAAGGACACCTTTGCGCAAAGAACGAGGAGTGAAGGTAGGTGCACTCCTTGTTTGTCTGCTCAGGTCTCTTCTCTCACATAAAGTGAATTTCTGCTGCTGCTTTGAATCAATATATTAAAGGAAAAAAACCTGAGGATGATATTTATAGATAAACTACATACACTTAACAATGATTATTGAGTTCTCTGTGGTCTTTCTTTTTAGCTTCTAGATATCTCTGAGCTGGATATGGTAGGTGCTGGTCGTGAAGCAAAGAGAAGAAGAAAGACATTAGGTTGGTACAGCATTCTGCTTACAAAGGCTGTCAGTACACCTGCAAATAGGATCAAGATTTGTAGTACCATTTTGCTCTTAATTTGCTAAAGCTTAGCCTGAGCTAAACTTAAAAAATTAGGGGATGTGATACCAACTAATACTTGTGAATGAGGTAAACCCCTGACTAAAATAGGTTTTAAGGGAGGATTTTCATTTGTTTCAGTGCTCCTACTCACATTGCCTTGGCCTAGGTAATACAACTCAATCATGTGAAAGGATTGAGCTAATCAGTTGTGCTTTGGGCAGCCTGTAGGTGTGTGAGTGGCTTCAGTACTGGCACTTTTCTGAGTTATTTTCATCTGCTCAGTTCTACTGGCTGTATGGCCATGTAAATTAGGTGAAAGTAATGTTGAAAAAATTTATAGCACTTTCCAAAATTTTGACTGAGGTCTTAACGAGTGAACAATATCAGATACAGTGCTTTTAAGGCAAGTGACAGGGTTGTGCCCTACTTAACCATATCAAGAATATACACTATGCAGCATATTTTTCCTAAAACACTTTTTTTGTGTTTGTTACAAAAAAAAAAATACCACCTCAGAAGAAAACCATAATTGCAATTAAAATGTTGCTTGGGCTTTCATGCCTTCTAGTATCAGATTACTCAGTTCCTGTATCCTGTGCAGTGTTGTTCAGTTCATTACTGGGTTCATTATAAAACAAAACAGTGTTTGGAGAGTACTGTATCTATTTCAGCATATACCTTTTCAAGCATGTTTTAGCATACTTTGAGAAATGCATTTTTAGATCTTTGTTTAAAAAGTATATTCAATATTTCTGAAAGAATGTTTGGACTCACTTGTATTTTTATGCAATAGATACAGAAGTTGTGGAAAAGCAAGCCAAAGAAGAAACAGTAGTAGAAAATGCTACCCCAGATTATGCTGCTGGCCTTGTATCTACACAGGTAAAACCAAGCAAAATCAATCAAACAAAAACCAACCAGTCAAAAAAAAAAAAGAGAAAAATACTCTTGACATCTGCTGTTCTAAACCCCTTAAACACTGTAATGGCATTATGCTCACTTGTTGAAACATGTCTCTTTATGTAAAAATTTCTATGTAATTTTTTCAAAATTTCATTACATTTTCTCCAAAGAAAAAGCAAACCCATTGCCAGAAGTTGTTCAGTCAGGGAGAGGAGGAACCTGTCATGTGTAGACCTTTTTCCTCCTATTTCAGGTCCAGCATATTAGAAACTGCAGTGTAGCTTTGTGTCCTCAGGATATAGGTTCTGCAAGAGTGTTATGTCCTGCCCTTGCTTTTGAGTGAGAAACTGTCTGCTGGGCATGTGTGACAAGCCAAGGCCAACATACAGGCAGGTAGTGGTAGGCCAGAGTCAGGTGTGAAGTTCATTGCCTCTCTTTCTGCAGAGTGCTAAGAGAATCTTTGTTTTAGCAAGTTCCACATTTTACAGAATGTCCATATTTCATATAGTGGGCCTACCTTAAATGATTTGTCTGTTAGACTTACTCCCCCAAAACATCTTTCCTCTCTCACCCCCCTTATGTTCAAAGGCTGGATCAGGCAGTGAAATCATCAACCATGCTGCTGTTTTTATGCTGTGTATGCAGTGTCATGCATAATTAAGTACAAAATGAGGCTTTTTCTGTAGCCTCACCATCGTAGATGGCATCAGTGATGTTGATGTTGGCTGCCTGTTTCAGTGGGAATGGCATTTTTGCCTGTGCTGTTACTGCTGCCTTCTGCTTGTCTGTGTCCCAGAGGCCTTTGTGTTCTCGTGGGTGAGAGCCTAGCAGGCCTTATGCTCATGGATGAACATGGCTTGCTGGTGGTGAAGAGCATGTTTCTTCTGGCAGATCACTTAGTCCTAGAGTGCAATTCTTCATAGAGTGCCATCTGCACAAATTTCTGATGTTTGAAGTAGAAAGTCAGTGTTGAACAGGTTGTTAGGTTGGATTCTTAAAAGAGGAGTTTTAAGTTCCCAAATTAAGTTCAATTAAGGAACTGGGAACTGCAATTAAGTTCCCAAAAGGAACATCTTAGTAAAACAAATGTTGAAGTTGCATTTAAAATGCAGAAACAGCCCATGAATACTTTCAGTGTGGCTTTAATGTTTTCTTTTCTGTTCTGTAGAAACTTGGCTCGTTGAACAATGAGCCTGCACTACCTTCTACGAGTTATTTACCTGCTACTCCCAGTGTGGTGCCGTCTTCCTCCTACATCCCAAGCTCTGAAACACAGCCAGGTAACAGACACTTCTTTGCTCTTGGGACCTGATGAATGCAACTCTGTACTGTTTTACTGTCTGCCTGCTCTTTTATTTACAAACCTACTGTCCCTCAACTTGAATGAAACTCCACCTTAGCAATATAATATCCATTGCAAGACTCCAGCCTTTGAGTCTGGGGAAACCAGACATATAATTTAACCTAAGTAAAGAAAATAATTGTTGGCTCTAAATTTTTAGAATGACTGCTAGCTAAGCCAAGTAAGTGAAACAATTTCCTGATTTTTTTTTCTTACAGTAATAGAAAATTCAGCTTTTGCTATCCCCAAAGAGTAATCAATATAAGTCTGAAGTATGTATTCCATGCACACACATGCTAGCACATACAAAACAGTTGCTTTCAGAAGTCAGTTTTATTTCTAGAGCCAAGTGCATATTACCTTTCACACAGTTTGGGATTAAGCCATCCATTTTTCCTCTACCTTTGTATAACAAAGATAATAGCTGACCTACTGCATATTTTGAAAAGTGCTGTTATTTTCAATTCTAGAAGATTACCAATAGCAAAAAATAGTTTGTACAAGTCCTTTTTTCCTACAGTTTTATTTTAACCAGCTTGATTTTATTTTTCCTTCCCTGCTGTGTGTGAAGTCTTTAAAAGAATGTATCAGTTTATGCTAAAAGATGTGCATGGCTGGGATTCATTACCAGCTCTGTCCATTAACAGAGAACCAACATTTCAGTTTAATATATTATTTTTAATTGTGAGTTGTGGCATTTTGGGCACTTTAGAAAATGACATAGATGCAAGACTCAGTCATTTCATTTGGCCTCAAAACAGTTCAGAATCTCTCTGAAGGTCTATGCACATCTTTCTCTGGCAGAAAATTGGCATCTCCAGAAGGAATGCAGCCAAGAACACAGCAGTGTGTCAGCAGCTGTAGTACTATTTTCCAGAGTGTTGGCATTGTGTTCAGCAGCAGGAAAAGTCTAGTTGAAAATTCTCTATTCTGTACTCTTTCCTTTAGGAGTATGGAGTATTTAGCTTTTCTAAGGGACCAGGAACATAAAACTGTTTGGTTGATTGAAGATGCACACAGAAGATCCCCAGATTTGGCCTCATATAATCTGAGGTTGCATAATTAAGACATTACTTTATGAAAATCAGTTATTTTGACAAGAGACAAAGCCAGTAATGAAACTTGTAAAAGAATAAGGAATATCTCATACTGCAAATGTTTATCCTCTCAATTGTTCCACATCTACTGAAAAATACCAGTATTGCTGTGTCTGTGCCAAAGTGGAGAACCAGAGATGTCTCCTTTCCTAAAATCTGCTCTAAAGGGCACCAATGTAGCTCTGATCTGTATCTGCCTGTAGTCTTCTGTGAACACAGGGTAAACAGGTCAGCTTAAAGCTCATGAGGTTTGTGAAGGGTGCTCCAGCCTGTGTCCAAGAGCTGCAAAAGAACGTGGATAGAGTGTCCACTGGGTAATCACCACTGGCTGGACAGATGGTGACTTGTGTGGTCAAGCTGCTGTGATTTCATGAGCTGCCTCCAACTGCAGCCAGGTCTGCAATAGTATAACTTCCTTACTGCAGGTGAATGGATCAGCTTTGAGAAAGAACAGTTAAGCCTTGTTGGGTTTTAACTTCTAGGAGTTAGTGTTTAAATAATGAATAATTTGTGAAAACTGCATTTAATTCTGACATCTGTTAAAGTATATTTGTATTTTCAGTATCTTAATGGTACTTCCTTTGAAAGCTGCTGCCACATTAGGTAAAAACTGATGAAATAATTTTTGACTTGCTCTATGTAATAGTTCAGCAACAATCCTGGTAGGATCAGAGTACAGTTGTTAGAGCTATATAAACTGAAAAGTAAGTATTGCAGTTTCAGTTTAATAAATTGGATATTGATTAAACATCAAATTTGATGCTAAATATAGCATATCCATATGGAACAGCTAGTTACTCTGTTGTCTGATGACTTCTAAAGATAATTGAGTGGAAAGAGCATTAGCTCTTTAACTTTTTCATATGGATGTTAGTTGGCATATTGAATGGTGGTGCTAAAATGGAATCATCAGAGATTTTACCTTTCTTTAAAGGCCACTGGTGGTGCTAATCCCTATTTGTGGATAATAATGTTTAACTATCCTGACTGGTTTTTGCAGCTGGCTCTGCACGAGAGGCCTTGCAGACCAACAGACAGACTGAAGAGCCTGCAGCTCCAAATGCTACTACAACTCTTCCTGCACAGTTCAAACAAAGAACCCCCATGTACAACAGCAACTCTAATCCCCCTGCAGCTACACCTACCTCACCCCTAACACCCACCACACCTCCTGCCATCTCCCCGGCGGCACAGGCACCACAAGTGGCCCCCCAAACTCAGCAACAGCCACCACCGAAGAAAAGCCTCTCTCTCACAGTAAGTAAAAACAGATTCTTTTTGACTGATGGTTTTGATGTGGATTGGATCTTGTTTAGATGTTGGCGTTTCTTGGCCTTTGGATTATGGAGTGGTTGAGGCTGCTTTTTTTATAACCAAAGATTACAAAAATACTTTGTGGTTTAGCATGCTGTCTTAATGTTATTCACAACATTTTTAGTTGTGCAGTGTTAATGTTGCAGGATGCTGTTTGTTATGTAAAATAATGTATTGCTCATTATAAAGAATTTTGGGAGAAGGGTGTATTTCCAGCAGAAATTGCCCAGCCAATTGCACATAATATAAATTGCTTAAAATTGTCCTGATATAGCTGTACTAGGAGAAAATACATAAATAGATTATTTTAAGGTAAAAGATTTTGTTTCTGATGATACCTCATCCCCCCATTACACATTTTTCAAAGCCTGAGAGTGGGGATATATCTTGAAGCTTTCTATTCCTGGTGCATATATACCTGGTTTGGTAACTTTTATGTGCATGCTTGGAGTCCAGTTCAAGCTTAACTGATCAGAAGACTTTGCTAACCATATCTGTAAGCCTGGCTTGCAAGATCTTACCTTTAGCAAGCTGGACGACTTCTTTTCAGTAACTCTACTGCATTTATTAAAGGAAAATAAATCCTCTGAAATTATCGTAAGCCTGGGTTTGTTGGATTGTAGAGAAAGCATTGGATTATTTTCTGTTTTCCCTAATGTCATAAAGGACACAAAATGGATAACATAAATATTAAGTCTCTCACATGTTTCTGTAACTCTTTGAAGTGAGGTGCTTTTTTCAATGTCCAGAGTTCAATGGAACTGCTGTGCATGTTAGGTATAAGTATTGCAGAGGGGAAACCTTGAGGTTAGGATACGTTTTTTGTTAACTTTTTGTAGGTCCTACAAACCTTTGCCTTGTTCTTTTATGGTCATGTGAGGATATTAAAGTGGTCCCTGTTGGCAGAGTTTTTCTCAACTGAATTGACATTTATTGTGTCTGTTACAGAGGGAGCAAATGTATGCTGCACAGGAAATGTTCAAGACTGCAAACAAAGTTACAAGGCCAGAAAAGGCTCTTATACTTGGATTCATGGCAGGATCCAGAGGCATGTATTGATATTAATTTGGCTTGGTCCTGAATACACAAATCTGAAATACAGCCCAGCATTTCTAAATATGCATATGAATGTGCTTTGCTTTAGCTTTGTCTGTATGTGTTGGACTCTTTGCTTTACACTGGACTCTACATATTTTGATGAATTATAGTTCTAACTACCTGGAAATGGGTCTTTAGGGTCCATTTCCACTAAGTCAACTGGTCTGTCAGAAAAGCTGCTGACCATGATATAACTGAACTCGCTGTAGAATCAGGGCTTAGGGTTGAAGAGAAACAAGGCAGCTGGTAAGCTGTGAATAAAGTGGTTGGTTGCTACTGCTCTGCCTAGAGGACCAATGAATGTCTTTTGTGGCCAGCTGATGTACCAGCTGGGTAGTACAGAACCTCTTTGCTAATTCCTTGCTTTAGAAACTGGCAGTTGTTATCTCAGAGACTTAAGATAACAACTGGTGCTATGAATCACAGGGAGATAAGCTGTCTCATAGCTGGATCCTGTTATGTATTGGCCTTGATAGACCAAAGCTGTTTTACCTAGAAGATTACTGGATGTAAGATGAGAAGGGGCTTAAGAGTCCTTAAGTGAACTCCATCATCTGCACTAACTCTGGTTTCTAATTTGGTATTTGTGGGCTCTTACCACCAGAGTCCTGCAGCCTAAGTGTGGCTCATGCGTTTGGAGTAACACAATAAGCTGGTGAGAATGACCAGAGCAGAGTTACTGTGGTGATCCCTGAGCTTTGAGTTTGGTCCATCTTACATTAATGATGGTGTTTTCAATGCTACTTCAAATTGCACTAGGAGGCTGTACTTTAATATCTACACAGACAGCCTTTTCTAATGTAAAGTAAAATATTATTTTGGAAGTGTGTGTGATATAGATTCACATATACATATATAGTAAAGTAAATATTAACATGAATTCCTTTAGTAATAATGCCAGCACCTTCTGAAGGTTGGATAAATAACTACCAACTGATATTCTTGAGCATCATTCCAGTACCTTGAAGTGTAACATTTAAAACTTCTACTGGCACGGACCTGAGTCTGGGACAAATGGTTTCAGTGAAGCTTTTTGGGCTTTCTTAAGAGCTAAAAATTCTTGAGGCATTTAACTACAAAATATCTCCCAAGTAAAGTAACTCTGGTAGTTCGTTTACCAATTCCATTTAAATTATAATTTTCTCTTCTGACTTTTGAGGTAGAGAGAAATGACACTGGCAGGCTTTACTCCCTCTTTTATTGTTCTTGCAATTATGTTAGCCTTGAGCTTTGTCTTTTGGGGTCTGGTTTTGTTATTTTTAAAACTTGGTCTCAGGAGTATGGAGGAGGAAAATCTTTGTCTGGTTTGCTCACCTTTGGGTTTGAGAGTTGTTGATTGTGTTTTGTGGGGATTTTTTTAAGCATAAGAACCCCCTGTCTTGTCTAATATACTGTTGTATATACTAATGTACTGTTGAAATGTATAACGTGTTTCTCTCCTTGTTTCTGCAGAGAATCCTTGCCAAGAACAAGGTGACATCATCCAAATTAAACTTAGTGAACATACAGAAGATTTACCAAAGGCAGATGGCACGGGCAGCACCACTATGTTGGTTGACACAGTCTTTGAAATGAACTATGCTACTGGTGAATGGACCAGATTCAAGAAGTACAAACCTATAACTAATGTTTCCTAAGAGATGCAGCAGCAGCAGACTGGACCAAATCAAGTTTAGAGTCAACCAGCTCATAGAGTATGTCAACTGTACAAAATGGCATTCATGTGTACATTTCTTATTACCCTCCAGAGTAGAAGCTGTGCTCTTCAACCAAACTGAGCTCAGTGAACACAGATGTGTTTGATGGTGTCAAACTCACTTAATTTCTTTTTTTTATTAATCTTGGGAGAGGGAAAGATGATCTTGAGGGAGGGGGGGACATTGTTGGTGTTTTTGTTCAGGATGCTGAAAAAGGAGATCACAGCTGAAAGGTTACAGATGGGAGCAGCTTACTGCTAAGTACCAGAAGAGAAGACTACTGCGCAGTCACTCATGGTTTACTGTTAACTGAGGGCACAGATCTTTATTATAAAAACATTTTCCTTGGCAACATGAGTTCTGTCATAAGAATGGATGTATGAAGCACTACAGGTCGGTACTTGATAATTTTGTATTTCAGCTGCAGTATAACTATTGCAGATGGTAGATGTCAGTGTCTAAAGGTACCCACTGTATGTTTAGCTTATTTATGCTTGGGTCATAGGATGAGATTGAGCAGCTTTGTTTTAGCAGTGGGAACAAAATGACCTGGACCCCCTTATGCATCTGAAGGAGATCGCTTTATTGTAGAAATCACATTATTTTAAACCTTTAATCTCAACCTGACATAACTGAAACCAACCTGAGACCTAACAGAACTTAACAGAAAGAAGGCACCCATTGGCTGGCTCAGCTGCCGTGCTGCAGTCCACGTGTCCTATCATCCAGTCAGCTTCCTGCTCTTATGCTGTCCACCGTTCCTCCAGCCAATCCCAATCTCACTCCCAGCTGTCACTCAGCTGACTCTCACCTCGCTCCTAACTGCCTCTCACCCCTCCAGCCTGCAGCTGTGCCTTCCCCATGGGGCCTTCTGGAGAACATAAGCCTTAATCGCTTTAATAATCATTACCCCATATCCTACATCTCCCCCCCCTCTTTTTTATTAAGCAATGAAAACTTACTAGGAAAAACCTAAGCAATTCCTAAGACATTAGTAACAGTGACAACAATAATAACTATTACAGCTTTTCAAAAACTGTAACATAGGCTTCTCCGGTGTGAGTAGTAACACTTAACAGGAACATAATTCAGTTTTGAATGAAATTAACAAGGTGAAGCTTACATCTGCCTATATGCTTTGCTATCACCCAGGATCTCCCAAGAGCCTTCTTTTCACAATGAGGACTTGGAAAGTCTCTTCTGGATGAAGCTTCCCTGTTTACCTCAAAGTGGTCTAGATTTTGCAAAGCTAGTGAGTCTTATTTTTGATATCACCTGGGTTTGATAGCAAACATCTGGGTTTGATAGCATACTTTTCCCTGCCAGTCAAGGCCATGGCTTGGCCAGAGCTGCGACCTAGACTGGGAAGGCTTTCCTATCATATCCTTAAAAAAAATCTTCAGTAATAACTCACAGAACAGCTGGCTTTGTCATAAATAACTTGTAAATAACTATAACTATGTACATATATATACAGCTCCTTTGAAAGTACAAATTTCCTTTTTGTCACAAACAAACCAATTCAAAACTATCAAAGGAAACATCTCTTTGTCTTAGCCAAACCTGCAGCCTCCAGGCAGGTTTGCTCCTCTGAGGAGGCAAGGCAGAGGTACAAGGTCCTGGTGGCTTGCAGCAACAACACTGGGGCTCGCTGTAAGGGTGGCATGGCAGTGCCTGTGCCAGGGGAGCCACCTGCTCACTGCTGGCAGCCCCATGCCCCAGAACAGTGTGGTCTGCTCTCCCTGGTTGCCTCTGCTGCTGGTGGCCCTGTGCCTTGACTGCCGCTTCTGGTGGATGTACGTGACAAGTGTTCTGGTGACAGCCACTGGGCTGACTGTGCTGGTGTTGCTGGGCCACGCTTCATGATGTTGCCATACTTGATGAGATGGCAGTCCCTGATGTGCCTGTGGCTGGCCATAGGCCACCTGCAGCAAGCTGAGTGCTGTCAATGTGACCACCAGGCCCACCCTGACCCCGCCCAGCCAGCACTCCCTGGATGTGTGTCCAAAACCTGGAAGTGCGCCGCTCAAGCCCCTGCCAGAGATTTAATATTATGAGCAGTAATTCCCACATTTTAGCATGCTCTAACCATATCTGCTATATCACAAGTACATAGGTTACCAGCAGTGAGCAGTGCTTTGTTCCAGTCTTTGTTCGCATTTGTAAATGCAAGCTGCTGCAGCAGAATAAGGCCAGAGTTATTCTGTGTTCTGGTCTCATCATCGTTGACTTGCCAGGAGAGCATGCCATGCAGTCTGTCCAGGAACTGTGCAAACAACTCCACTGGACCTTGTAAAATCTCAGCAAAAGACATATTAGAGTTGATACCCATCCCTGGGAGTCGCAGCAGGGCTAGGTGAGTGATGATATCGCATACATCACAGGGGTAGGCTGCCTGCGCTGCAGGGATTGCAAAGGGACCCTCTGCAGTCAGCGGCCCAATGGCGACTGGTGCATTTCTATCCTGCAGCGCTTCCCCCTGGGTTGTACACGGCTCAGTAATCAGTTAGCCTGACTGCAAACTGCATCACTGTTAGAATCATCTTCCTTGTGCTTTTCCAGTCATGGAGTGTGAGGATGTGTGCAGTACTGATAGACTCAAGGTAGATAGGGCACCATGGGAGAATATGCCACTTTCTTTAACTAGCGCCCTCAGTTCTTTACAGTCTAGCTCTTGTTACACTGGGTGTTGGTTCAGTGTATGTATTACTGGGCAGGCTGAAATGACCACCAAGTCGTTCTCCTTCATGGTGGCTTCCCAGCTTTGCTGCCAATGCTGGACTACTGCACCGCCATCTTGGGCCGGGAGTGAGTCTGCCACCTGCTCGTGATGTGGGAGTTGCGCGCCAAAGGGGCCAGAATGCAGGGAGTTTTATCGGGGTAAGACAGCTCTGTGGGGCTTGGGTTAGTCTCAGGATAAGGAAATTCAGCAGGGTTTGGGTCCATCTTGGGGTCGTATATGGGTTTGGGGGAATTGACTTCCAAAGCCACGTAATGGCCAACATTTGCATGACTTCCTTTAATGGCTGCCATGGTTGCCTCCCATGTAGCAAGGTGCCTGCAAGCCATCCCTAGTGATATCAAAAAGTCTCTGCCCTATTGCTTGCCAGGTTTCTGATCAAAGGCACCCACTAAAGGGAAAATCTGTAACTTGATTAGACACCCAGTCCAGCAGGGTGCTTAGTTTCACATCAGCCATATTAATAGATTGTTGATGTAGGAGCTGCCTGACCTGGCCCAAGCTCCTGCTTTGTTTCAGGGATATTCCACCTCCCATACTTTCTCCCGCTGGTCTCCTCACCCTCCCAGTGAGGTGCACACACTTTAAATTCCAGAGTTCCTTCCCAAACTCTTCCTGCATCCTGCCTGGCCAGTTTCTTGATCTAGTGGGACCTTTATAGGTCCCTGTTTGGGCCAGCCAGCAGTGGGAACAAAGTGACACAGACCCCCTTATGCATCCAAAGGAGATTGTTTTATTGTAGAAATCAGCCCTTTTTTGTACCCTAATCTCAACCAAACAGAAACCCGACATAAGTGAAACCAAACTGAGGCCTAACAGAACTTAACAGAATGAAGGCACCCATTGGCTGGCTCAGCTGCTGTGCTGCTGTCTGCGTGTCCTATCATCCAATCAGCTTCCTGCTCTTATGCTGTCCGCCCGTTCCTCCAGCCAATCACAATCTCACTGCATGTTCCTCCAGCCAATCACAATCTCACTCCCAGCTGTCACTCTGTCTCTCTCCTCCCCCCTCAGCTGACTCCCACCCCTGCAGCCTGCAGCTGTGCCTTTCCCATGGGTCCTCTGGCTAGCATCAGCCTTAACCACTTTAATTACCCCATATCCTACATCTTGTTAACTCTCTGTATTGTCAATGTACATGCCCAACATGAGTTAATCTTTATTTGGCATTATTTGAGATATACAAAAATTGAATATCATAACTTTGTGAAGAGAAAACCCATCAAAATGATAAAAGTAACTGTGGCTTGTTGCTGCCTGGAAGTGATAGTTTCTTGCTATATCAGCCTTGGGGTAGAAGCTGATCATGGCTCTTACATAACAAGCCCTTAGCACAGCATAACTTACCTGGAGGAAGGGAAACAACTACATCTCAAAATCAACTAGAGCTTAATTTAAAAATGGCCCTAGAAATGTTGGAGACACATCTGAGTAGAAGTAGTTTTGTTGTCTTGAGGCATTATTAATGTTGGGTTGAGTAGTCAAAAGCTGCTTGATTGCCAAACCCTGACCCAAAAAGTTTTTAATGACTGTAGCTGTGGTTCTTACCAGTGTAGTTTTATCAGTATAATTGCTAATGTGACCACAATTATACTGGCATATAAATGTGCCTTGTACTTGTCCCCTGCTAGTAGAAGCACATTTTTATCTTTAAACTGTGTTCATACCACTGGTGTAATCTGGCTTTAATGCTGCAAGCAAAGCTGGCATTTACTGAGAGGATTTATGTGCATTAGTCAGGATTCCTTCTTGGGACACAGCTTCACCATTTGAAGGAGTCTTGAATTCAGCATCTGGTTTCTGCCAGTACTTGTGTGTGGAGCTGTGCTTGGTTGGGAATGCTGCTTAGGAGGAAGAAATACAAAGATGAGTAGCAGAGTGGTGATGTGTTGAGAAGGTACCTTGGGCTGACTTAAAGATTCATGCTGAAGTGGAACTTTTAGGACTAAATGGGGCTTTTTTTTTTTTTTTTTTTTGTTCCTTTTTTCTGAAAAAAAGCAGACCAAATCCCATAGTACACTTGTATACTAATAAAAACATTTAGATGTTTGATTAGAATTTTTTTTTAATTAGGGAATTTTTATTGCATTTTAATCTTTGTTTCTCAATGAAACTACCCACCAGGACAGGGGAAGTATAAATAATATTTTTTAAAAATGCCCTGTATTCTACAGTGTTTTAAGATGTGACCAAAAGTGTAGATTTCTTAACTTTATTTAAGCAAATACACAGAATGTTCTAGCTCCTGTAACAGGCAGGGGGGCGTTTGATGGTAGCTGCTGCTGTTACAGAGTGTTGTGCATGATTTAATGTGAAAGTTACTCACATATAACTGTCACATGGGGCTGTCCTCCCCAGAATTGCCCATTTCAGAGACAATGTAGATTGCAATTTTGATTCCAACTTTTCTTTTTAAACAGCTTGACAAGTGAGGGTGAGTAGTGAGTTTTAGTTTTTAGGAGTTTAGTAGAATGTATTATGGTTATAACTTATTTGGTTTTAGAGTGTTACACAGTGAGGGCTAATGATAGGATATGAAAGTATTCATCTTTTAGAAGAAAGGTTTAAAGAAAAGTGACATTCCTTTTGTTGTCTGCATTCAGATTTTGAAGTTTCCTTGTGATGACCAGTTTTCTGTACATGTGTATGATACTTCTGTCTTAACTGTTCCTGCTTGCTGGATGAGCTGCAAGTATCACATACAGTTGTTAAGAATGAGCATTTAGAAAATTGGCTGGATTGAGGGGCATGTACTGTCATTGTAAACTGTGGATGCAAAACCTGTGCAGTTCAGTCGTGGTTAGGAGCTGCTGTGTGGTGGCTCTTTTGGCTTGCTTGAGATTAATGGTGGTCCCTCAGTACACTTTCTGGGGCCACAGAGGCTGCATTTCAGAGCTGTGCTTTGGGAGGAGACAGCTGTCCCTCTGCTCTTCAAGAAGCCCTTCTAGAATGCAGTGGAGTCATTTGAGTGCAGTAGTATGTAGGAAGCTTAACCATGCTGCTGTTTGTAATTGCTGCATAATGCAGTTGGTCTCCAGGCCTGTTTGTCTAAAGTCAGTCATAGGCAGTAAATGAAAATTTGAAGTAGAACTATAGTATATTTTTAATTCCATAAACTCATTATGATGAGACAGTTTAACACTGCAAAATTAATTTTTTTA